CAGTAGATGAGAAGATTGGCTAACTACATAGAGGAAAATAAAAAACTGGATCCCTATATGAAGTCACATTTATAGGTAGATTTTAAATGGACTAAAGACTGAAATGTAAAAGGTAAAAACTATACAGTTCAAAGAAAGAGTCTGATGATGTAAAATTTGAGGATTTTGTTCAACAAAGCATATTATGGATAAAGTTCATTTGAATGCCTACAAGATAGGAGAACATATTTATAATGTTTAAAGCAAAAACAAGATTACTATCTACACTATTCAAGGAATTCCTGGTAATCAACAAGAAAATGCCAACTCCAGTAGAAAAATGGGCAAAGGATACAAACGGGCAGTTTACAGGAAATCCCCAGAAGCAAACAAGCATTTAATGGAAATGCTCCAATTCGGTAGCAATTTAGTAGTAGCAAAACCAAATAAAATAGTGAGATATCATTATACCAATTACCTGATACAATTCAGGGGGAAGTATCACATGGGTTAGGAATGTGGGCATACAGGAACCCTCAGAAGCAGCTGGTGGTTGTGTAAATGGGTAGTCATTCTGAAGAGGAACCCAGCGCTAATGCTGGATTCTCTCCAGTGCCTCCTCCTCTCTGCTTCCCAGCGTCCACAAGCTGAGCAGCTCCTCTGCCATGCTTTTCCACCATGATGTTCTGACTCACCTCAAACCCAGAGCAATGCAGTTGGCTGACTTTGAACTGAGAACTAGAAATTACGAGCCAAATTAAACTTTTTCTCCTCTAAGTTGTTCTTGTCAGGTATTTTGGTTACCGCAACACAAGGCTGATTAACAAATACACATATAGAATTTTTTTTGCAATAAAATAGTACACATGGAAGCTATAAGAAAGGCCACGGAATAATAAAAAGAATGAATGCATGAATAAAATGAGAAGGGGGCCTTGCACAGCTCAATGACCATAGGTACAAGTTCATAAAGTGAGGTTAAGGGTGGTGGTGGGAAAATGATGGGTGAGGGCGGTGATCACAAGCATGTTGGCAAAATTTCTGAATTACAAGATTAAAAAAAAAATCCTTTAAGAGCTAAAATCAGCATGCTATAGTGATACAGCCACTTCAATGTTTATGGCAGCACAATTCATAATAGACAAATTATGGAATGAACCCAGATGCCCGTCAACAGATGAATGGATCAAGAAAATGTGGAACATACATACAATGGAGTTTTATTCATCCATAAAGGAGTATAAAATAATGGCATTTGCTGGTAAATGAATGGAAATGGAGCAAATCATGCTAAGTAAAGTAAGCCAGACTCAGAAAATCAAGGGTCGGATGTTTTGTCTCATATATGGAAGCTAGAGCAAAATAAGGGAAAGAGAGCAGCGGGGGGAGGGGAGAGGATATTATAAAGATACAGGGATGATCAGTGGAGTGAGCAGGAGGAGAAGGAGAGGGAGGTAGGAAAGAGGGAAAGGGGAAGAAATATGAAATGAATTTAACAAAATCATGTTATATACATATATAAACATACCAAGGGGAATTTCACCTTTATGTATATGTAGAAAGTACCAATCAGAAATAAATAAAGGAGTGAAAGAAAGACCAGTAAAGAAGGGAAAAAGGGGGAGGGAGGTGGGAGAAGGCAGAAAGGGGACTGAAACCAAATCCCTTGCATGTATGATTTTGTCTGAATGAACCCAAATAGTATGTAGAATTATAATGCTCTAATAACAAAAATTCTTTAAGCATCTAAGCTGAATGAAAAAAAAAAACATAGTTAACTACAAAAGACAAAAAGCAGATGGTCTATAGCTCTCTCTCCAACTCTAAATACCACAAGTCAAAAAGTCTTCAGAGTTTTAAGGATAAACTTAGGCAGCCAAATAAGTTTTCCACGTGTGAAGGCAACAAACATTCCAAGATCTGACCAGACATGCGAACGGCTCCATCCACGCACATTTCTTGAATTACAGAAAGCATTTAGTAAATTAAAAAAAAAATTAAAATAAAAGCAAAAACTACTCTTACTTAAAAAATATCAAATTACCTTTTGTAGAAAGAGAACAATCCGTATGAGCATCTGGGCACGGAGTTCCTCCAAGGTAAACAATGTACGGGGTGTTCGAATGAAAATTTTGGTCTTCCCATAAGCCACATCATCCTGAAAACCACATTTTTCTATCAGTTTCTTGACAGCCTCTTTGTCTGAAGGAAGGTCATGGTTGGGCCATGTGAATTCAGAGATCATCTTGTACCTGGATGGAAAAAAGAATAGGGTGCAAGGGAGAAAAAACCATGCAGTCATCTCAACAGAAAAACTATTCAATAAAATTCAAGATGCTTTGTAGAAGACAAAACAAAGCCTTCTTTGCAAATTCTTAACAAAAGCAAATTTCATTAGCGTGATAAGAGATGTTAAAAATGTGTCTTCAATAAAATAAAACACTCCTTCATGATAACAACTCATACCAAGCTGGGGATAGGAAGGATTTCCTTAATGTAATAAAGGCTATTTACTCATTTTTAAAAATATATTTGTTTTTAAATTGGAGTTGGACACCACACCTTTATTTTACTTAATTATTTTTTATGTGGTGCTGAGGCTCAAACCCAGGGCCTTGCCCATGCTAGGCGAGCACTCTATTGCTCAGCCACAACCCCAGCCCCTATTTACCCCAAATTTACAGCAAATATCACTTTAAAGTAGGCAAACTTGAACATCTTTTCTTCCAGCACAGACACAAGACAAGGGTGCTTCTACCATGGGGTCTACTCAGTATTGTCTGGAGTTCTAACCAGCAGCACAGGGAGACCAAAGAGCAAGCTGGCAAATGACTGAAGAAGGCACAAGACTGACACTATTTATAAACAATATGACTTTTCAAAGGAAATCAAGAAGTCTCAAGACAGATTCTTATAACTAAAACAAAATTAAGCGGTGTTGTTGTATGCATTGATGTGTAAAGTAGTTACATTTTTACATATAAATTGCTAAGCTTCTTATCACATGGGCTGCTCACTGAGTGGCAGTTGGTTTCCTGAGCTTGCAAGCAGAAGTCATGATCTTCTGCAGCCTGTACTCACAGGTGACATCCCACCATTTTTACCACACTCCATTTTGGTCCAGCCTATACTCAAGGGTATTATAGGGCATGGAAACCTGGAGGCATCTTAGAATTCTGCCTGTCATGCAAAGTTGTTTAATATGCATAGTGAAATTAATTTTTTTCTTATATTGCACATCAAATTTTAAGTTATTGTGAGAAAGGCTTTCTTCGCACCCAGGCTATAGAGTAATCTACTGAATGTTGGCTTCTAGTACTTGCATATTTTCATTCTTTTATGTTTAGATCTCTGATCTGTTTGGAGTCTATCTTGGCATATAGTGTGAGGATGAGTCAAATTTTATATTTTGATAAAGAGCCACTCAGCTAATCCAATACCATTTTAAAGCCCATTTTCCCCCCCTGCGATTTCATTTGCCATCTTTATCACATACTAAATGGTCATATGTGCTTTAGTTTATTTCTGGACTTTCTGATCTGCTTCATGGCTGTCCATCTGTGCATCAAAACCACACGGTTTTAATCATAGAAGCTATGAGCACAGTATAAGTCTCTCCCTGTTTTTTAAAGATCTTTCTAGCTATTCTAACATGCCTATTTTTCATATGAGCTTCAGAATCAGGTTTTATAGTTCCAGGGAAAAAACGGTATTCAGCAAATAAACAAACTTAGAAAACCAAAAAACTCCAAATCCCCTTGATAATTGTTTTACTGAATTTATATATGATGTTGAGTTGTCCCATCCAAGAGCAAGGCATGTCTTCCCACTTGTGCAAGTCTCCTTTAGTGCTTTTCCAGGAGTCTTTTTAAAGTCTCACAGGGCTTTTCACATTTCTAGCAGAGATGACAGAAATCTAAGCAGCATCTGACAGAGTTACTTTACCCAGCTTATGACCTCCCTGTGACTTCTTGGTATCCACCCCAGAGCACTCTCCTTGCTTTCCTTTGGTCTCTGGATATTCCTCCTCATCTCATTTTCTGGCAATTCTGGCTACTACTGGACCCCTAAGTGGTGGAGTGTCCCAGGGCTCAGCACAGTCTTTAAATAGCACACTCTTCCACATGGCCTCATCCGGCCCATTGGATTTAAATAATATGTCAAATGTAAAATGTAAAACATAAATATGTAAATATTTTAATATGTACATTATAAGATGTATTTTTCAATCTGTGAATGTATCATTCCCGGGCTTTCCCTTAATTATAAGCTTCCGACTCCTGAACCCAGGGCCTAGACAGGTCCAGAAGGCGTTTAAAACTTCTCCTTCAATCTTTCCTGCCTCAGTTCATCCAGGTACTAAAGTTGGGATCCTGAGAACATTTTTATCCCTTTTTTTTTATCATTACCTCTAATCTATCATTAAATATGGTGGATTCTCCCTCCAACATTTATATAAAATCCAGTGATTCTCTTTCTTGTCACAGCTGCAATCCTAATTCAAGCCAGCTTTGAGCTTCCTATGAAAGATTCGAAAGATTCGTGGGTGGTTTTCCACTTCCTTTCCAAGCCATCCTGGGTGCATCAGCCACAGTGGCTTCCTCAGAAGCCTTAAATCACTTGTTATCTACTGCTCCCTCCTTCTCACACCTTCAGACCTGGGCATGGCTGCCCCTGGCCTTTCTCTCTACAAGTTCCCCAGGTGTGGAAGGTAGGCTGGCCAGCCCCCTGCAGGGGGCAGGACATCCTCCTCCTCCTCTTCTTCCTTGATCCTCCAGGTCAACATTCCCCATCAATGTCTCCAAGGCAACTCGCTTGGAGTTGTCTCCCCCCAGGCACTCATCACAGTTTGTGATGACAAGGATTTGTGGGATTTTCTGTTAAATGTTCCATGAAGGCAGAGGCTGTTTCCCACTCTGGGCCTTCTGCCTGTCAAGTTGCCTGCAGTGATAACGTATTTGTGGAATAAATGAAGGAATGTGTTTAAAAGTCTACTTACTTTGTTACATAGACACAGAAATCCAAACTAAATGAAAGAGTTTTAATAGGAAGACAGGTAATGCCACATAGTCTCATGTGAAAAAAAAGAAGGACGAGATCAGAAACCTCTCGAATTCATTATTAAAATAGAGTAAGGGTCCATCCACGTTGGGCCCTTGCCGGGGTAGTGATGGTGCTTGTCTGCAGTCCCGGGCACACCACAGAAGCTGGACGCAATGCTGCTGCCACCCTGCTCAGCTCACGTGGCAGGGTCTAGGCGCTCTGCCTGCCTTCCTACCAGCGGAGGCCCTGACCCCAGTTCTCTAGCAAACCAGCGACCTGAACTTGCTAATGAAAAAGCTGAACTCAACTGATTCCTGACAACTTGTCTGACCTCCCTGAAGGACTTGAGCAGTTTTTAAGGTTATCAGTATGCTTAAAATCCTTCTCTCTTTATTCAATAGAGGCAATGAAAATAAAGGAAAGTGACAAGTGAAAATTCAGGTTTAAACCTAGGATGTTTACCAAAAAACCTTCAAAATCTTAAAGCAAAAATTGACTGTAGAAAATATCACTTTATTTCTCATCATCACTGAAAACAACAGTCTGATGTATTACACACCTTCTATCCTATCCTATGTTCCACGGCTAATTGGTGCATTCAGTATGACCATAAAATAAAATGACACTTTCTCAATTTAAAAAAAAATGCACTTTACATGAAGCAGAAGATGAACCAGTCTGCAGAGTAAGAAGAGGCTCCCTTCCCAGAAGCACAGCCCATCATCTCATCTAGCACAATCCCTAGATGGTTCTAGAGAGGCATTTATCTCAACTTAAATAACCATCGGCTGTATAGTATAGATTTCTGTCTGTGCAAAAGTTATGTCTTTTAAAACAGTAAGTTCCATGTTTAACATGTTTATGATGATTAGTGGTGTACTTTCTTGTTACTCTGCTTTCCTTTAGACTGAGCTTTCTTCATTCCATTTTCATTTTCCCCTCAAATTGAAAAATATATTCAATTATGAGGCAATTTTGTTTTTGTTTTTGTTTTTTTGGTTACTAAGGATTGAACCCAGGGCCTTACGCATGCTAGGCCAGTGCTGCGCCTGCACTACCCCTACTGAGCGACACTCCCATTTCTAAAGAATTGTTGAAGTTTGTAGGGTCAGAGTCATTTGCGGGGTTCAAACATGGCACCCTTGCTACTTAGCCACATGGCCTGTGACAAGCTACTTGTCCTTTATGTGCCTGAGTTTCCTCATCTACATACAATGAAGGCAACATACCCGCCTCCTGTGAACGTTAGCGATTTATTATATATAGAATGTACCAAAGGGTGCCTGTTTACAGAGTAAACATTCTAAAATATGAGCGGCTATTTTTACAATTCTCTTGAAAATTTCAACACATAAATTATCTGCATTATCTATGTCCTTTTCGTAAATAGGACAAAAGTCTTTTCTTATCTCTATTTCTCACTTCTTTTTAATTTTAGTCCAAGGTTATTACTAAAGACTCCCTCCCCACAATACTTTTGTAGATTTAACAAAAAAAATTGCTGATTTATTTGTACTATACTGCATTTTTGCATTCCATGTTTTCCTTCTCCATTCATCTTTCTTTCTGCTAAAGTACATACTCTGGAAGATTTTCCAGAGAGGGTCTGTGAATAATAAACTTTCTGAGTGTGTAAGAATATTTAAAAAAATTTTATTCACAATCTTGAAAGGCAACTGTGCATGGAAGACTCTAAACATGAACTTCATTTCCTTCACCTGAAGATGTGGCCCTTTGTCTGCTAGATCCAATGTTGCTAATGAGGCTGATGTCTTTGAGTTCAGGGAGAGTCCCAACCATGGTCTGAACCGTGCCGTCTCCCCTCGCCTCTCTGTTCTTCCTTTCTGGTATCCTGTGGCTGGGTTCTGCCTCCCTTGTCAGTGTGGAGGAGGCTACCTGTCCTAGCCACTAAGGCGACTTCCTGGTGCCATAGCTACTGTAAACACTGATAGGGGACAGACGAATGTAAATGAGGGGAACAGAGGTTAAGGGAATAACTCCATAAAATGGGCCCACTGTGCTGACCCCCATGTGCTTTCACTTTTAAAAAGCAATTTCTGGGGCTGAGGATGTGGCTCAAGCGGTAGCGCGCTCGCCCGGCATGCGTGCGGCCCGGGTTCGATCCTCACCACCACATACCAACAAAGATGTTGTGTCCGCCGAGAACTAAAAAATAAATATTAAAAAAAATTCTCTCTCTCTCTCTAAAAAAAAAAAAAAAAAGCAATTTCCCTGAAGCCCTGCCTCCTTAAGTCCACAGAGTATGTTACACTCCTGCACAAACTGCCTGTTATCTGCAGGAGATATGTAGGCCCTAAAAGCGATAAGAAGAACACAAGTTACCTTCAAGAGGGGACTTTTGTGACCCTTCCACAGACCAGATCCCAAATCTCAGGGAGATAAGAATAATACCCCAACCATAAAAATCTTAAGAATAGGTTCCAATCAGAACCAGTCATCATGGGCCAAAGTGACCTACAGTTGTCATGGCAATGGGGACTTGAAGGTCTGATGCCATTCTGCTGTCAGTCAAAAGTCAAGAAGTGGGGGGGATAGTAGGGGATAGGAAAGGTAGCAGAATATAACAATTACTAATTGGGCATTATGTAAAATTGTGGATGTGTAACCGACGTGATTCTGCAAACTGCATTTGGGGTAAAATTGGGAGTTCATAACCCACTTCAATCTAATGTATGAAATATGATATGTAAAGAGCTTTGTAATGTTGTGAACAACCAATAAAAAATAAAAAAATTTAAAAAAAAAACAAAGTAAAAAAAAAAACAGTCAAGAAGTGGACAGGACTCTCTGGAAACTTCCCTGGGACCCCAATAAAACTGGAGGGTAGGAGAGGCACATTGTCCCTTTCCTGAGAGGACCTACCTCTCCCTGGAGAGTGTCCCCTTTCCTATACTTTTTAATAAACTCATGTCTGTTACTCTGAAATCTTTCTGACTTGATCCTAAGAATTGGGGCTTGAAGGGGGCCTTCATGCTGCCTCAGTTTCCTGGAAGGCCCCAGCCCTGGAACACCAGCTGGATTTTAAAATGGCCCCATTCTAGTTTTATATGAGTATTAGAAAACATTTTAATCCTTATACCATGTTTTGCATGTCAAAAACAGACACACCAACAGCTTTTGATTTCAAAGTAAAATAAGTCCAAAAGGAGATTAAAGGTCAGCAGTAACAAGTACTTGCAAAATCCCTCGTCCGGTCTCAATCAAGCTTGCTTACTGTCCACTTCGACAGCTTGCATGGCTTCCCCTTTACCTCATGGTAATATTGTTTTCAGCTTAGCCCCAACCCAGAGTTATCCGTTCCTGTGCTGTTCATTCTCATATTTCACTTCTGCTGATTTTCTGCAGGTGATGACACAGAAAACAAATTCTATGTCTGATCAACTGCTAGAATTTTCTAAGCAACAACAATGGACTGCAAAGTTTTCTTTTTTTTTCCCCAAATTTTTTTTAGTTATAGATGGACACAATATCTTTATTTTGTTTATTTATATTTATATGGTGCTGAGGATCAAACCCAGTGCCTCACATGTGTGAGGCAAGTGCTCTACCACTGAGCCCCAGCCCCAGCCCAGTCTGGAAAGCTTTCTAATAATATAATTTGACACTGTTTGAAATCAAGACCGAGAATGAACACAGCATGAAAACTTTGCTACTGAGGTAGGAGTTTAGGGATGTCAAGTGGCAGAGCTGGGTACAAGAGCAGTGCCCTTTGGAGTGTGAGGATTTCGTCCTTATGTCCTATTGGTGATAACCCCATTATCATGGCAGCTCCCGCCACAGGTTCTGTATTCAAACTAAGCAAAAATAAAGTGACCAATGGGAAGGTCTTCAATCAGGTCCACACAGAGAGGAGGGTGAAGTGCAGCTCAGCGCATAGGAAAAGACTTGCCCAGATGAGGGGCCCTGGGCCACCAGCGCTCAGCCTACTCGGCTCTAGCTCATGAAGTGTTATTTTCACTTTCAACAAAATCTATGGTCTGCCTGTTACTTCTGCGTGTCTTGCTCAATTCTTTGTCTGGGATGCCAAGAACCTGGACCTCAACTGGATACTACTGGTGTCACTGCTACACAGCCCCAATAGAAAAGAAAAACCAACTGTATAGATCTGTGTGATTTCTACAGGGAAAAAATGGTCAGTTTTGAGTGTAACCTTTCAATTAATGTAAAATTAAATTCCAATTTTCCAAACTAATATGCTAGAGACTTTTATTCATTTCAAGCAAAAATATTTTGTGCAATCTCTTGCAGAATGTTCATAGAGAAAAATCTGACAAGGCTAGTTGGTCTCATCTATCTATCTATCAATCAATCAATTGTACTGGGGATTGAACCCAGAGGTGCTTAACCACTGAGCTATATCTCTGGCCCTTTTAATATTTTATTTTGAGACAGGGTCTTACTGAGTTGCTTAGGGTCTTGCTAAGTTGCTGAGGCTGGCTTTGAACTTGTGATCTTCCTGCCTTAGCCTTCTGAGCTGCTGGGATTACCGGCACGTGCCACAACACCAAATTCATCTTAGGTTTATAACCTTGAGTCTCAAATGGGCACTCCGCTCTTCCTGATGGCAATCCTGTTAAAACAAACCTATGCTCTCCAGCTCTCCAAAACGATCAGTCTCATTTCCCCTTAAGCCTCCTATGTGCCACTTCACCTAACCCTCACTCTCAGCTCATGATGCTGCCGCACACTTCACTGAGAAAACACAAATGATCCAACAGGAGCATTTTTGTATTTGCCAAAGCTTTGAGCTTCTTGCCCCTGTGTCTGTGTTCCCCATCTGTCTTTTTGCTGGGGTGAAGTGCCCCTTCTCCTAGGCTGACAAACTTATGTCCAGGATTCGGTCCCATCTTATGTCTCCAGGATTTATTTACTACAATTATCTCCCTCTTTCCTGCGTCACAGGTTTTCCCTGGGTCTGAATCACACCCACCTGCATACAGACCTTTTCTAGGACCTCCTGACCTCACATCCTTTTCTAGCTCATGCTTCCATTTTCTCTAATCCCAGGCTTAGCCCAAGTTTTTGAGTTGTTTTGGCGTCTGACTCTGCATGTCCCTTTTCTGTCCTGCTCAAATCAGCCTCCACCCACTTTCTCCTTTTACCAAAGCATTACCAAGTCTCCTGATTAAACTGCTTTTGTTATTTGGTTGCACAGCAGTGTCTGAGGCTTTTTCTTCTTGAGGCTATTTCATCTTCTCTTGTCTGGGCCACCAGCCCTCTCCTGGTTTTCTCCTACCTTGCTGGTTGCTCCTACTCTTTGCTGGTTCTTTTGTGTCAAACCACAAATCTAAATACTGTCACAGACCTCCTCCTCCTCCTCTTTTCCACCTAGTCCCAGGGCTTACATGTAATCTGCATATGAATGACTCCCCAAAGCTCTTGCAGACTGACTTCTTTTTAGAACTCTAGGTGTTCCTACCTAGACATGGAGCAGGCATTTCCAAGTTAACACAGTTAAGAGAATCATCTTGATTCTTTCCTTGCTTCTGTTCCATGTCCTCTCTTCAAGCTTCTTTGACCTATTTTATCTCAGCAAAGGATATCATGCTTTCTCAAATGCTCAAACTCAAATCTACTGTCATCCTTTATTATTCTCTACAGTTGTCTCATCATAACCAATCCATTCATGAGCAAGTCTTCTTCTCATCGTTACCTACCAAACGCATCCTGAATCTACGCCACTCATATCTACAATACTACCTGGCTGGGGTGTTATCTTCAAGCCATCTCTCCCGTGCTCCTGTACTAGCATCCCTAAGCATCTCCTTGCTTTTTGTTCACCCAGTAGCCTCAGTGATCCCTCAAAGACCCCCATGACTGTGTCACTCCTTGCTTAAAATTCACCCATGGTTTTCTATCACACCTTGCCAAAATCTAAATGGTTCAGTCTGACTACAAAGTTCCACATGATTCGGTCTGTCTCCTCTGTTCTCATCTCACACCATGCCTGCCCCTCAGTGTCCTCCAACCATAGTGACTAGGTCAGGTACCAAAAGCGCCACACTCATTACTGCAATGGCGCCTTTCCCTGGCTGTTCCTTCCGTCCCACTCTCTCTTCTCGGGTCTTTGTATGCCTGGCATTTCTCTATCATTGCTATCTCCTTAGAGACTTCTGACCGACCAATCTACAGTATTAGAATTTTCTGCATTTTTTATGGTTTATGTTTTATGTATTAATTTATGCATCTTTTGTGGGACCTGTAGTACAGAATGTAGAAAATGTTCAATAAATATTTAAATACAAACAGATGAAACTGAAAGCATTCTTGGATTCCAAGCTGCCAACAATCATTGGCATTATCAATTAAAACAAGAACACATTTTACATTTATGAAGTGGTTTTCAAGTCAGGTATGATTCTAAGCGCTTTGTTTATCATCAGAAAACCTTCAAAATAGCTACCACTATAATCCTCATTTCAAATGTGAGGAATCGGAGGCATGGAAAGGTTATGTGAGTTGCCCAAGGTCAACTGCATATGAATGACTCCCCAAAACTCTTGAAGACTGACTTCTTTTCAGAACTCTAGGTATGCAGCTCACCCACCTAGACATGGAGCAGGCATTTGCAAGTTAACACAGTTAACTTGGAAATGCCTAGAAAATGGCAAAGCCAGGATTCAAACCAGGTCGACTAACTTCAGTGTCCCCAGGCTTAACTTCTTTACATTCTACTATTATGATAAGGACCATGACCAGAAATGGTAAGCAGCATTAATTGAGTATCTATTATGTGCCAGTAACATAGGCTTTTTACCCACTAAATCCTCACAACAGCCCTGTGAAATACTATCATTCTCATTGTTTAGGTGCAGCAACAGGCCTCAGCTGCTGTGCTGCTGTGTGCAGGACTCTACTTCTCTACTGGGTCTGTTCTCACCTGTGGAGGAACTTCTCGTAGGCCTGACGGAAGGCAAACCCGGCTCGGCGCACTCTCACGTTTTCCAGCAGTCCAAGGTATTCCACTTGGTGCCGGCAGCGCTCATCATCGAATATCTGAGGGGATTTCTTGTCGTTGGGTTTGATGCAACGTACATAATATGGTTCCTGAGGAAACACATCAGCAAACGAGAAGTTTCACTAGGAAAATCCCCTACCTGGGGATCAGTGCTGTGTCAACTGAAGCTCCATGCCTCTGATTTCTCAGGCACATCCTTGTGGATAAGAAGTTCTTCCTTTCTCAACACAAGGTTGGATGTTCCCACGCACTCAGCGAAGTCTTGATTTTATTATGTTTAAGATTCATCAGAAATGACAGAAAAGGGATAAAACTGGGCAGCAAATAATTAAGACAGGTAAGCACCCATTTTTTTTTGTATTTATGGAATCATAGATAAGGTCTCTGAAAGAATAGTTCAATAGAAAAAAGCAGCAGATGTGGAAAAGACCAAAAGGAACGAGGAATGTAAAATATTAACGACTGCTCTGCTGCACACCAAGAGTTCCTAAGTGTCAGCCATGATTAGGATTACTGCTGCCATTACTGCTGCTGCATTAGTTTGTGCTTTGAAAAACAGATGCGTAAGTAGAGGAGTTACACACACACACACACACACACCTCTGAAGGTGTCAATAATTCTATGAAAGAGCCCAGTTAAAAATCCTTCCTTCTGTGCCAATTAAGTTTTGTACCCTGCATCAGATCACAACTCCTGTTAAACAGAACACTGTGCTCGGCATAGATCCTGGTACACTGAGGATAATAAACAAGGTAACACTGGATGAATCCAGGAGGTCAGATATATCCTCTTATAAGAGTACAGATTTTCTTCCTCTTCTCTGAATCCTTTATCCACCATACATACAGATGCACTTTAATTAAGACACAGAGTCCTCTGTAGTTAAATTATGCAGTTTAAAACTCCATGGAGGACTTGAGGTAGCAAGGGTAGCAAATACTTTAAGATGTAGAGGAGATTTGAAAAATATGAATCTATTTGCATTTTGAACAAAATAAAAGTTTCCAACATCTAAAAAGTAATACTGTTTTCTTTCTTTCTGTAAGCCCTGCTGTGCTGTTTCTTATTGTTGCCAGAGCAGATTATCACAAATTTATTTGCTTGAAACAACACAATTAACTTATCTTACAGCTTTAGCAGCCTTAACTACTTCTGGAACCTTAATTCCACTTTACTGGATAACAAAACACAGACACAGGTTCTGAGGATAAGGACATGAGCAATCCTTGGTGGAGGGACTGTGGTATAATTGTTATAGAGACAGATGAGGCAAGGCACCAAAGATAGCAGGAAACAGTTTTACTTGGCAGCCAAGTAAAAATAAATAAAATAAAGTTTTTTTTGTTTATTTGTTTATTTTTTAAAAAATTAAGCTACAGATTGAAAAAACCAAAGAAAAGCAGGGACAGGAAGGGGCAGAGGACAAAAAAAATCCCAGATTATCTTAAAGAGCAATAAACAGACTGAACAGCTGATTTTTCAAAAGAAACTATGGACTCCAAAGGAATGCAATCTTTGAAGTACTGAAAAACATGTCAACCTAGAATTTTATACTCAGCAAAGACATTCTTCAAGCAGGAAAGCTTTTATAACAATATTTTTGGGGTAAGAAAAACAAAGAATTGGTCACCATCATATTTAAACTATAACAGGGTAAAGTTCAGGCAGAAGAAGATGGTCCCAGGTGAGCAATACAGAAAGAGAAAGAAAGAAATGATGAATGAGCAAAGCTAAAGGGGCATATTGACAATATGTAATTATAATGGCAAGAATGTCTTATTTGCTTTAAATACACATATTTAAATACACACACATATGCATGTATATGTGTTAAAATACATGACCAACATAACACATAAGTTGAGAGTAGGATAAACAAAATAAAAAATGTTTTATTGGCCTTGTGTTGCCCAGAAAGGAAGTAAAAGTACAAAATGATATCAGATTATTGTATGAAAGAATAATATTATAATAATAAGTCAAGTAATTACCAAGAGCCAAGATCTCTTAAAACAACAAAGTGAATATAACTTCCAAGGTCCCCACAAAGGTCATGCCTAATACAAGAGTCCCTGAGCTCCTTCAAGCCCCATGCTTACTATTTCCATCAAACATTTATCATTCTTCCAGCATTGATGGAATCACCAACAGGGATGGTTTTTACCATAAACAATGTGGCTGTGATAAGTTGATATACATCTTACTAGGTTACCGGGGGAACAGAGGTAAAAATTTAACTGAGGTTAATTTGTAAAACAGAAGAAATAAAAAGGAAAAAAAAATTATAGAAGGATCAAATAAAAGCTCTAAGGGGATGGCTGATTTAAATGTAAGGGGAGGCAGCAGAGTAAAAAAAAAAACCACAGTAATTACATTAAAAGTAAATGAACTAGAAGATTTATTCAAAAGATAAAGATTTTCAGGATGGATTTTTTTTTAAAAGCCCAAACTAAGTTATGGAAGACATATTTGAAACATGAGGATATAGATAGATTGAAAGCAAAAGGGTGAAATAGATATCATGCAAACCCTTGCTAAAAGAAAAGCTGGTGTAGCTGTATCATTCATGCAAAGTAGACTTAAAGACAAAAAGCAATATGGAAATAGAGATACTGACAAGGGACTCAGTCACCAGAAGATATAACAGTAGTGGCTTGAATGAACCTAATATGTTCTCCAGATATTTTAAGCAAAAAATTTAAGGTACAACAAGGAGAAGTAGACAAATTCAGAATCAAAGTGAATCTTAACAAACTTTCAACACTGACGAATTAGTAAGGATCAAGAAAAGTTGAACATGATTAGCAAATGCAACCTAATGGGTTTGCATGCAATACTGAATGAAAATTATATTTAAATACAAACCAAACATAAACATAAAGCAAATCTAACAAATGTCTAAGGACTGAAGTCACCCACAAGATGTCCCCTGGGAAAGTAAGACTAAGGTAGAAATCAAGAGCAAAAAGATAATTAGAAAAATCTTAGGTTAAAAAAAATGACAATGTGAACTAGAAAATATTTCCAATTGAATGATGTAAAAATCATGTGGGCAAAAAATCTAAGTGTAAGGTGTCATTTGAAGTAATATAAGTTACTTTACTAAGAAGCAGTCAGTTGAATGGAATTGTACCAGCATTGACTGATTAGGTGCAGGAAGAAATAATACTGGATGAGATATCAATGTCCAGCCAAGGAGTAGGGGAAGCCCTTTCATCCTGCTTAGTAACAGATAAGTCTTTTGATGAGGACTCTAGTGGAAATACATTCTCTATATTTAATCAGCATTCTGTGTCAATTTATATATGCCGCCTCCTCTCTCATTTATAAATATCGAGACTGACTCAGCCTAAGAAATTCTAAATTTGACAAATTCACTGTGGTATAAAGGTTAAATTGCAGAAATTAATTGTGATCTTATTCCCTTAAACTTTTAAACCTGTCTCTCTCTATATTTTATGTGAAAACATCACTTGTGAAAGTACACTGATCAGTACATGCATTAGATAGAAGAGGCTGTATTTAAATATTCACCTATTTAGCCTGCTTTGTGCATTGTCCGATAGTCAAAGTCAAGTTCATTTAATAATTTACTGGTCATGTGTCCATAGCACTTTATAGTGCCATCAAGAAGCATATAAAATCAACAGAATCTATTTCTCCATCAAAAGATAAACTAGGTGAGAAGACAGAGTATACAGGACCAGATGGTACACACCAAGCTTCCTGATGAGGTCATTGAAAATAAGGTGCTAGACCAGATTCAGGCAAAGGTCTTCTTCCATGCACAGACCTAATAAGACAGAGGAAATAGCTCTCCAGGATCAGAAGATGACTACAATCTCCATGAGTGAGCCGGTTGCCTGGGTCGTTTTCTCAGAAGCTACTGCTGATGGAGAAGGCAGTCACGGGTTGGGCGGATTGGGTGCAGCTTCTGATGAGGGGTGGGGGAGCTGGAGCCAGAGACAGAGACCCTGCCAGAGGGGCTGTGCTTTGGTCTGAAATCCTGGAGAGCTAACCTTGGGAGTTAAAGGTGAATGGCAAGCCACTTTTAGTGACAGCAGCCCATCCCTCAGCTACCAATTGTAAGTCCTGAAATAGGATAAAGCTGATCCCAGATTGCCAGAATTTGACACAATCTTTCAACTTTTCTAATTCCTTATGTTTAGATGTCACTAATAAATAGTATGTATCTGGAGTCTTTCTTTAATTTGATCTGACAATTTTTATCCATTTATATTCAATATAACTGCTGATACATTTGGATTTATTTCTACCACCTTGATGGCCCCCAATTTTCGTATATTCTTTTGTCTCTTCTTTCCAATGTTGTTTTTTCTTAGGGTTCTTTTCCCCCTGATTAGTTTGTAAGTCACAAACTCTATTTCTACTCTATCAATGAAAACTTTAACACGTATTTTTAACTCATCAGAGTTGAAAGTTAAACCATATTTTTATTCTTTTTCTGAGTAACTGAAGGTTTTAATGTTTAAATATGACCCCATTTCCAATTCATATGCTACTGTTGTGGTATTTAATTCTAACATTTTAAATACAGAATGAGATTATTTATATGCATCCACATATTTGCCTGTTTCTTTGCTTATCTTTTTGTGCTTCAGATTTCTTTTTTTTACCATATTCTTCCTACTGCCTGATGTATATCCTTTAGAATTCCTTTTAGTGAGGACCTAATATTGGTAAACTCAGTTTGATTTTTTAGAAACATTATTTGTTATGCCTTTGTTTTTGAAGAACTTATTTTCTGGGCATAGATTTTTTTCCCCTTGAATACTGGGGATTGAACCCAGGGGCAATTAACCACTGAGCCACATACCTATCCCTTTTCATATTTTATTTTGAGACAGGGTCTTGCTGAGTTGCTTAGGGCTTCTTTGAGTTGCTGAGGTTGGCTTTGAACTTGTGATCCTCCTGTCACAGCTTCCTGAACTTCTGGGATTATAGGTGTTTGCCATCCCATTAGGCTGGGTATAGAATTTTGGTTAACAGATATTTTCACTCAGCCTAATTGTTATTCATTTAAAGCCAATCTCCCCCCTCACCCACCCCTACCCCTTGGCCCCCAGT